CTGAAACACATCCTAGAGAGAAAGGACATTGCCGGGATTTGTATCCACGCAACCCTTAGTTAAAGTCGCTGTTCGCGCAATGTAAATTGCCTAAAGGTTTATCTTCCACCAGCTGCTGTAACTATGTTTAGCCGTTTATGTTTTATTTTTTGACCTCACTTTCCCTAATCTGTGAACATGTACTTTGATAGTGTTTCTTAAAACGAACAGTAACAAACCATACGCTTTAAATAAGATCCTCTACCACGTCCACCGTCCTTTCTTGTCTATTACGACCCATCAGCACTGTGCATTGTAATAAAGCTTCTTGTTCTTCTGTCAATCTATCACGATCTCTGTCTGCTTCACTTGATGTCTCTAAGCCCTAAATACTGATTTCCTGCCCCTTATTTCGACAAACCTAACACTTTTTCGCCTGGTAAATAAATTCCGTCTGATTTGAACATCTTCCCTTGCATAGAAGCGGTTTTTATAGCTAAAGCTGGAAATTCTTGGATTGTCGAAGGCCTAAATGTAATAAACGACCCTAAATGTGATAAAGTCCTAAATGTAATAAACTTTTTAAGAGTAATAACATTAAGCCTTAAGAGCAGTTGTCGGTAAATATCAACCAGAGGTCTACAAAAGTGAAAAATCGGAAAAAATTACAATAAATGTAATTTTTACTTCGATGCGATAATTAATTTAGACATACGGGGGTTATTGGTTTCCCGGGTTTTACAGTCCCGAGACGGCCAGTCACGAAAAAATCGTTTCAAAAATCAAATTAATTGTAATGCGAACAACAAAGAACTTAATCAGAAAAGTACATAATTATATACATTTTATAAGGTGATTTACTCAGTTTGAACGAAAATGTAATATTTTCGATATTTTGAGCGTTTCCGTTCGATGAAAAAATGGCAAATTTCAAAGCCCAAAATCGTCGACCCGTACCTCGATTTCACTAAACAGTCTTATACCACGTTAAAGAGCGTTATCTCTTCTTTCAAAATCTGCTTTCAAAACTATGGGTAATTTAAAAGAAAATTTTTGAGGCATCTCTGAAAATAACATCAAAATGGCTTCAAGGTATTACCTTGTTGAAGGATTTTGAAGTCATCTTCGCATTTTTATTGAACTCACTCACCGATCCGCGACCACTATTTCGGTCAATTTCTGGTTAGGCGGCGTTGTTTTTCTTAGTGATGATGAGCTGATTTTCCTATTGCTGTTTGAAACAATGATTTGTCAAGCCTGTAAGTACGTTTTGAGACCTCCAAAACCTTTCAACGTTTCAAATTTTCCTTTTTTTCGCCAACTGAGCCGCAGTTTTCGGATGTTTGTTTGTCTTCTTGGTGAGTGACCCACAATAGCCTCGCTTACGCGCAAAAACAAGCGCTCGTCCTAGGCCACCCGGGAATACGAAACTTGCCTATTCGTTTTACTCCGTAGAAAACCCAAATTTATTAGTTTTCCGGTTAAATTCCCCGCCGATAGATCAAAGTTTCAGGGTTATGATAATTTTCACGGGAACTGTACTGCCGTGGTTTTTTTTTCTAAATTCAGCGGCCGAAATATGCTTTTCAATACACTTTAAAAACCGCACCACATAATAGACAAAAAAGAAGAAAAAGAAAAGAAAGAACAAAGTAGGGACCTTCACGACGATATTCGCGGTGGGTTACCCATCCAGTTCCTAACCCCGCCCGACAGGCTTTAACTTGCGCTACTAAAAAACCGAGTTTGGCAAGGGTTATTGCGAGATACGTATTTCTAGTTTACGTTGCGATGTTGTAAGTGAATTTCTCTCGGTGTGGAGAGCGAGCATTTTCAGCAAGTTTTGTAAGGGACTGTACTGATGTTAGTTAGTTACGTTGCTGAAGGTGTGGAGTTAACTGGACATGAGTAAAGTGTTGTTGTAGAGGAAATAAAGGAAGTGGAATTGAGATCTGGTCGTGCGCAATTTATTTATGACAGAAATTAAAATGGAATTGGGTTACAGCCAAGCGGTCATGCACCTACCAGACGTCCGGTGTATAAGTAAATGAAGTCTGTTACACAAAAAGAGAAAAGTAAGGGTATTTGTATGGAAGGGTATCCGGAAAAATATCATTTCTTACTATTCCTCCCCATTCACCATTAATCCACAACCACAACGCCGAAGTGTACGCTCCCATAACGTCTTGTTACATGTATACTCGATGTGAGTCCTAAAAGTAAGCTTTTCATCCAATAAATTTCCCAAACATTTATAAGAGGTTACATGCGAAACAATATTATTGTCAATGGATATAGATTTTATTATTAAAGTAATATGTCGACCCAGTGAGCACTAACTTAGCTTTTAAAGGGTGGAATTGGAGCCTATTAACATTGAGCCAATCACAAACTAAGGTTTTCTATATGAGAATTGATATTATTGGCAAGAACATTTGTATCAGCACTAGAGGCAAAGATTTGGGTATCGTCCGCATACAAACAGGGGGTAGTACATTCTAAGCAATTTGGTAAGTCATTTATATAAATGAGGAATAGCAGGGGGACAAGAATGAACCCTTGAGGAACTCAACAGAGTAAGTTTCTTTGAGAAGATAAATGTCCATTTACGAAACGTTGTTGTCGGGCAGATAGGACTTAAACCACGTCAGTTCCCTCTCAGAGTCTCCATAAAACTGAACGTTCTCTAGCAAAATCGAATGATCAATTAAATCAAAGGCCTTACGAATATCAAGAAAAACTACCCCTGTCAAATTTCCGTTGTCCATATTTTCAAACCAGTTGTCGCACATTTGTATTAAAGCTAGCCCGAGACAGTCGAGTGACGAGGGCGAAATCCTGACTGAAATTCAAAGGGAATAGAATTGTCCTTTAGATAACGCTATAGAAGGTTAAAAATTTCTTTCTCGAAAACTTTACTAATTATTGGCAAAGTCAACCCAAGCCTCAAGTCGAGGCCTCTGCTCACGGCAATTCGGAAATGGTACGTAAAAAGGTTTCCTGCTACACTGTTACACAAAGGCAATGCTACTTAATTCTTGCCTCCAATGCCCGATGTGACTCAATATTTATATCGAAGAAGCCAATTTTTTCAGTCCATTTATCATGACAAAACAATCAATCACGCATTTTGCATAAGCCCACGAAAAAAATGTTTGCAAATGGCGCTAAATTCTTTGTAAAACAAACGGGTTCAGTGCTCTTTTAGTGACACTAAAATTGAGTACAGCAGTCTAAGAAGGCCAATAAGTGGGAAAAATGTGATGAGCTTCTCACGTAAAATCTTTTGTATAATTTTTAGTGTTATACCAGTAAAAGCATTAAGACTTAATCCATAAGGAGATTGAGTAATTTTAATTTTCAGCGGACAAAAACCTTGTACCAGAATATTTTAAGTGATATCGCATTTTTTTATTTTTTAAGGGCTACAAATTCAATTAGTTGTCTGTAATAACACCAAAGAAAATTTCTTATGGGAGCCGGAGAAAATAGTTTCAAATTTCAGAAATTAAGAAAACACAGGTAAAATCGTCATCAGTAAGATTTCATTTTGTGAAATTTGAAGCTTTTGTAGTTTGTTTTCTCGGGCCCCTATAAGAGACTTTTCTTCGGAGTTATTTCATGACTTTTTACATTCATAGCCCTCGAAAACTGTGGAAAAAAAGAATGCAGTATGCTTGAAATTATTTTGGTAAAAGGCTTTTGTCCACTGAAAATTAAAATTACTCAAATTCCTAATGGATTCCGCCTTAATCTTTTGCAATAAAAGCTTTTGTTTGTCTTTCAACTTAGATGCGACATAAAGGTTTAAGGTGGACTTGACGAACTGTAACGTGTAAGACTTGAACAACGAATTACCAAAGTCGTGACGTCGGATTCTGCACCCTGCCTTAGAAAACTTTGACCTTCACTCACCGAACTTACAAGATAGCAGAGAGACGGTAGTAACATCAAGCTAAGGCCTGTTGCTATACATTCTGGAACATCATCAATGTCTATAGGAAGAATAATCTGTCCCTCATTAGGATTCATTGCTATATCCTTGTCTTCATTTGAATTTATTTGGATCAGTAGCGAATTCTCTGTCTTCTTTACATCGCACCAGGCTTGCTTGTCCCCTAGTCTAAAGAACTTGATCTTTGCGATATTTTCTTCGTCGTCCAGTGACATTCGATGGGTAGTTTTGATTCCAACACATATCCCCCAATCTGACTGCCCTCGAATAAGCAGAGCGGTTTCGCTGCCAGACATATTTGTCGTGACGCACCTAGACGAGTCCTCCAAAGGCTCCAAATGACTAGGAAATAAAGTATTGTTTACAAGTTGAGCTGAGGCAACGGTATTACCTTCACTGTTCACAACTTCCAATACCAAGACGTCAGCTGGTTCGGCATTCAGCACACGACAAGTAAAAGCAGGTTTTCCACAGTAGCTATACAAACGGTATACAGATAATTCACAAGGTACCCTTTGCAAAGTGAGGATTTCTCTCTTAAGTATCGTTTTTGGAGCTGAAAGAACATCTGCTGGGTGCTTAAACTTTGCGAATTCTGGCTCTGGACTCAAGGTAAACCTATAGCTGATTGGCTTTGGCGATTCACAGGTCCTAATAGTCACATAAACTTTTCTGTTAGCAGGGCCAAAAATCGGAATAGGAATTCGAAAAACGTGCATTATGGTCTGTGCACTGAGAGCGGTTTCAAAACAATCTGTGAGATCGATCGAATGACTAAGTTTTGGAGTCTTGGATAACAACTTTCTTTGATAAAACGAAAGAGTGATGCTGTTTTTCTCGTCTGTGTTGATTAGAAATTTTGAAAGAGGCTCTCCATCGCTCCCAAGGCTGTGGCTTCCTCCTTTTAGCCTCTTTTTCCAAATCACCTCCTTGTTGTTAAGCTGAAGAGAGAAAGAAAATGTTTTGTCGTTTTCAAAGTTTTCGGTCTCAAATTTGACGAGCTCCATTTCAAATTCAAAGACCGCAAATTGTCGGTACGCGTCTGCTGGTTCTTTTGGCAGAGGAAATGGAGCTTCACCTCGAAACATAGTTCCAGGCCTTTTAAAGACTAAATTGTTTTTTCCCCATATAGCCTTCGTCTCCTTTTCAAGTGTCAGATACTTAGATATGTCCAACGCGTTAATTTTAGTTTCTGGATGCTCCAGAACACGGCCAAGAATAGCGTTTACGTCTGCTTTATAGATCGATGGATGTAGCAGATGCGTTTTCCAAAGGAGATCAAAATCACAGCATGTAAGGAGGTTACTGTTTGGATTATCGCGAGTTAACACCAGATGCTGTTTGTAGCGTTTTAAAGAAGACATAAGAAACCATGGATCCTGATAATGAGGAAGTGAAACGTTGTGATACAGGTTTCTGAGACGGGCACAAGCTTCTTGGAAATTGCACTTCATTTTGGATTTGTATTTTGGAAAAGAACTGGGAGGATTATGGAGGTCTGCCTCGAAGGTTTCGTTGGGATAGACTGTATCCCATATAACTCTTGCTTTTTCCAACGCCTTGTTTCTCTGCTGATTGTTGATTATCCTGTGATCGACTTCTTTAGACACAATACTTCTGCAATCTATTTCATAAACCTTAAGATCAAGAATATGTGCTTGCCAGATCCACTCTATATCAAGAGGTGCTTGGAGTTCCTTACCGTCGATATCGGACTTTGAAAAGAGCGGTAACCAAAACAACTCATATCTTCTTAAAGCGTTTTTAAAAGCAGGACCTTGTAAGAGGGATTGGTGACGATCTACAAGCTTCAAGAACTGAAGTTCACTCTGCGCGGCTTCCACGAAGTTGATTTCCGGAGACAGTTCAATGGAATCCTCAATGGTAGCCATCGGCCCTGCAGTCGATAACAGAAAAATACATGTAAAAACTCGTAAAAAAACCGAGGGGATTCTGGATAGCGTCAGAAGAAAGCAGGAGGCGAAAATGATATCATAAATAACATTTATTATTATAAATGGACTGTAAGTGACCCGAAATATATTGTCTAGTCAAGTCTTGTGGTTTGTGGCCCTCCTTCTACTGCTCCTTTACGAATGGTTCGATTCACCTGTTATTCTTCCATCTTTGACTGAAGATTTTTAATCACTTTAATGGTGTCTTCAGTGACGATGCATAGCTGCGATCAGTTGGTTTTCATATGGAAGAGGGAGTGAAAGAAATTAGGAAAGGAAGGCATGATCGCAGTCCGGTGGCGGTGTCTATTCAGTGCCATCTGATGTGAGACCACGGAAAAGAAATTAAATTCGTTAAAATTTAATCACTGGCCAAAGTACTTTAATTGGCCAGTGATTAAAATTTAGTTCTTATTCTTAAAACATAATTATAAATAACTTTTGCAGTTCTGTAAGTACTTGTTAGTCCTGCAAATAAAGCTTCTTGTCATTCATTCAAAATATTTCCCCGATTCTGATTGGCTAAAAGCACACGCATAATTCACCATAACCAGCTACTGACGACCAAATTTGGAAGAATTTTGCGATTACTGAGCCGATGACGTCAAAAGTGCAGCTTTCTTGCAGGTTAATGCACCGTTAACCGAGAAGACATGGGGACGAGGTTGAGTTGTTTTGGTTATGAAAACAAAAACGGCGGACATTTCACTCCCTTCAAGAGTAATGACTAGGCGAAATAATAGCTAAAACATGACAAGAACAGCAAGATGACAACATCTGCTATTTGGGGAATATTTGCGGGGCTGAACAACCCTAAACTTGCACTATCGACGATGAACTTAACATCGATCGAGGTAAGCATGTTTCAGCTTTGTTTTTAAACTAGCAATTATTTTGAATGAATAAAAAAACAATTATTGAATTCGGCTTCCGTATCATATGGAGAATTATGGAGATGTCGAAGGGTGTTAACGCCCTCCTCGATCTCCATGATTCTCCATAAGATACTCAGCCTCATTTATTTATTGTTAATTGTTGTTATTTTAGTCTTTGAAGCTTGAGCTAAACAGAAAAACGTTCCGCTCACAACAGAATGAAAATCTCGCGGCATTGGTAAGTGAGACCCTTATATGGCCTGCTATACGGGGATATGCTGCTGGACAGGATAGGGTCTTTGACCTCTATGTCCTAAAAAGGGGTATATAATTTCGCGAACAGGGGTATTTAATTTCGCATCAGTCTGTCTTAAACAGGAGTATACAATTTCGCGTCAGTCTGTCCTAAACAGGGTAATATATAATTTCGTGCCAGTCTGTCCTAAACAGACAGGGTTTATAATTTCGTGTGGGAAAAAGAAGCAATGACTTTTACGTGAATTTGCTTTAATGCAATTGGCAATAAGTGGCTTTAAAACAAGACGGATGCCGAAGAGAGTAATACTTATAGAGCGAGTTGTCCTGAATAAGAAACGTAAATTAGGATATTTTTGTCCTAAACAGCGTCAGGGTTTCAAACTTTCAGTGGTTCATCTACACCCAAATATTAGTCGAGTACCCCCGCCCCCCACCCGGGACCTGGGGGAGAGCAGTTAGCGAATTCCACGGTATTAGCTATTAACTTCAAATCTAACCAAGCCTTCGCAGCTGCAGGGGAGCTTAAAACATCTTCTGTTGAATTAGGTTGATCAATTTCTAAAAGGAATGATACCAGACAAAATGAAAGGGGTGACAATTTATATAGCGTTCAGTTACTTGCTTGCATGCCGAGCGGAACTCGCTCACAATAATAGTCGATGAGGATACAAGCGATTATCATGCACTTTTAACGTTGATAAAGCCTTTTTAACTTGCACGTAAAACTTTTGCTTTTAAAAGAGGCACTGGAGCTAGACTTACCTACAACATGTGCACTATAAATCCACAAACATTACATTGACTTGATAATTATACGCAACGTTTGGCGACGGATAAACCAGAAAGCTTGGATACCTGATCTCTCCGGAAGACCAAGATTATACATAGTCAGTTTAGTTATGATTGGTCAATCATGCGTGGTGACGTGACGTAATTCATGAAGAAAGGATTTGTACGAATGTCTTGCGTGCAGCTGTACAACAACAACAGTAACACAACAACGTATTGAACTGCATCGGATAAGCTGCCGGAGCACAAGTCACGAATCATCGCATAGATGGAGAGCAAGTACTTGGAAAATAAATAAAATAAAATAATGAAATTGATTTTAATGCAATACCGTTTATCAAATTCTTCTTACGACTAGAACATTTAGGGGCCATGATAAAAATGTCGTAAAATTTTCAATCGAAAAAGCCTATTGCTATAATCGGCAACATCAACAACATTCTTATGAATTACGTCACTACTTTGTTAATTCGTTATTTCAACCTTTAGTCTTACACGTTACAGGCGTCAAGCACGCCTTAGACCTTTATGTCGCATCTAAGATGAAAGACAAACAAAAGCTTTTATTGCAAAAGTGCTTGCTTTCTCCTATCGCAAGTAGTCAAAGCAACCTCTCATTTGCGATCTCGATCATCTCTTATTCCTTATTGCCTTCGGCGGGTATTGTAGCGACTCTCACCTTAATCATTGGGATATTGCCTGCATGCAGACGTCTCCTATTTCCTTTGTTGCACGCGGAAAAGGGACGTCCCTTTTCCGCGTGCAACAAAGGGACTAGGAGACGTCTGCACGCAGGCAAATTGGGATACTGAGTGAGACATTAGCGTGTGGATTCCGCATTTGCCCGGAAGATATAACGTTCTTCAGTTTTCCTAGATAAACAGAGGGGAACAAGAAAACGGACTGCATTCTTCATGTCAGATTCATGGAAACGTTGCTGCAGCAGCGCCAGTCATCACAATGAACCTGTTCCGCAATCCGTCCATTCCCCTAATCCATTCCATCATTCTTTTTTTGTACATTCGACTTAAACTCTTCCAAACTGTGATTATGCAATTTTGGCTGACCTTTCTTTCATCGACTTGCTCAACAGTTTCTCTCTTTAAATTTCTTACGTCATCTGCGTCATGGTTACTCATTTTCCTACTCTTCAGAGCTGGTAAAACATTTGCAAGGGAGGCGGGTGCTGCCTTACCCACATTTTCCCCCCACTTTCACGGGCTAAATTAACATTGTAAAGGGCAGACAAATATATGTGGCATTTAAGTCAACTAACAAAAAAACCTTAGTTTCGTACTTCTTTTATTGATAGTGTAAATCATGATGCTTAAATATAAGATGCAGTCATTATCTTACGTGAATTACCTGAGCGCTAGCTAACGTGTTTTCGTTCTTGACAACTTCAAATAAAAATATTCAAAAGCAACGATTTATTCGGGTGTAAAATAATCTTTAAGATTTTAAATACTTTTTGCAGATCCAGGTTGCAACCTTTAAGCAGTACTTTCCTACTGTTCCGTATGCCGTCCATACAAATGAAAACATTGAGAAATGCTTGACAGTAATAATAATAATATTAAAAAATAATAATAATAATCAGACGAAGAATGATAATGATAATAATAATGAGGACAATAACAATAGTAATAATAAAATAATAATACTGATACGGCATTTTCTGCTCGAACATTCACTTGGGCTTTCAAATTCTAATTACGAAAACGTAAAGCGGGCAATTTCACGAGGAGCCGCATGGGGATCATAAACAGGAGGGCTCCAACGAAGTAGCACCAAAACGAACCCACACTCCAGTAGACAGAACAGCTTACTACAGGACCAACTGCCCTGGCCAAGGCGCCCAGAGACCTGAATATACCCATGACTTTCCCCTTTTGGTCGTCATTGCCTGTGGGAAATCGAAGTTAGAGATCATAAATAATTAATTCCGCTGGAAAACGTTATCTCCTTGTTTGTTCCGGTGAGGATTATCCACTCCGCGTGACTTTTAAAAAAGGACAATTACCGTAATATTCAATGTGAAAGAAGGCGAAAGAATTATTTCAAAGATTGTTCACTGGCAAGAGGATGCTAACCATTCCCTTCATTAATGTCCCATCAAACACTACAAAATTCGCTTCATTGGGGGCTGTTAAATGAACTCCTATGATCACATGGTTATAGTCGTGTAAAAAAAACGACCATAAACTGTATTTAACAAAATACTCATATTTTGAAAGAAGATTTTCAATGGGAGCCGGGCTCTAATCAGTGTTAGTTTGTTACCAGCCGGTCTTACCGTGATGAGAAATCATAGTTGTCAAACAAGGTACTACTGTGGCAGAACCTGTAAAGGAAAAAAAAAAAAAGGTGATACAAAGTGCATTGTATATTCCTGACTAACGGATGAATCAGTGCGAGCGTTCGTGAACGCTTTTGAATGAAGTAGCAAAATGGAGACACAGGGGCCAACAACTTACCAAATGAAAAGAGAGCAAGTCCAGTGTAAAGAGTTGGGATTGTCTTAGCCAAACCAACAATAATCATTGCAGGCATAATGGCTGCCATGCCCTGCCGGCGAACAAACAGAAAACACACAAAATATAAGCAACGAACACACACCACAACTTGCAAAAGCACAACAGCAACAATAACAACACATCATTCTCTTATATCTGACTCAGACGACAAAATCCTACCTCCTGAAATTATTACCTGTTAAACAATAATGGCGGAAAAGCGCTAAAGCACAACAAAGTTAAACGTTTGGCAATGATATGTTTGTGCAGGTTTCTACCAGTAAATTCCTTTTCACGGCGAGTCTAGTTAAGGAAGTTAGTTACTAAGAATTGCACCTTAAGAGCTGTTTTCTTTTCAGAGCCTGGAGGTTGTCTCCGAACATAACCACCTGAAAAATAACCAAATGAACTTTTAAAATAACAACTTCACCCGGAAGATACTCTGCTACAAGGGCCCGGCAGCCGGCCGGCGCTGGGGAGAATTTTCAATTAACCTTACTGGTTATTTAATATGTTATTATGCCTTGAGGTTTACATGTAAGTACACCATCAAATCGTTGTTACTTATGGTATGTATTATATTTTTGAATAAAAACAAATTTCAGATTACACCAACTTTTTATACTCAGTGTGCTGAAGACAAAGCTAAGGTCAAAGTGGATAGTTGAGAGTGCGCATGTGCGATTTGTCTCTTGTGAGCCCGATATTTCATGAATGATGAAACTGAGATCTTCAGGATCTCTTTTTTTTTTTCAGGCCAGTTTTAAAGCAAGTTCAAACCATCTTTGTACTTGAGTCATTTGTTATACTAAACGGAACAAACGCACGGCGAAAATGAATCTGAGGAAACGTCCAGCCTGAATGTAAGCTTTGAGAAAAACACTTCTTACACCATGTACAATAACAGGCATTGCTGAAGGACACCAAATACCTTGCACAAGCGCCATTGTGATTCCTATGAAGAAGAACATCATTCCTTGCTGCATGCTGAAAAACAAGACTTGAATTAAGTCATGCAAACACGTGCTCAGTTTAGTTTAGCCTCGGAGCGGGCAGCCGCCGTCCTCTTCCGGCACATCTTTTGAAAGCCGGCTACGTACTGTGCATCTAAAATTACAGCAGCACGACTTTATCTTCGCATCTGACTTTTGAGTTATGCCAGTTTTATCTATATAATTTTGCCTACTGAAAAATATGCAGTCCGAGCACAGATAAATTAATCAATTAATTAGCGTTCGAATTAATAATAAACTGGCTCAGTGGCTGAACAGAAATGTACTGTAACTTAAGGCTGGTGCCAGGAAAACGAGGTTAGTACGATTTTGTGGCTGGAATTGTCGCTAATCGTCGCAAGCTCCAACAACTAGTCTACACAAAGTGTGCACTAACTAAACAATATCAACAGATTAACTATTACATTAAGGTGCGGTGGCCTACTACTTAGTGACGTGGCTGTAGACAACCCTTTACCTAGAATACTTGAAGTTCCTATGTGTCAAAAACGTCAGCGTGAACTCAAGTCCAGAGAAGAAGAACAAAAACAGAAAATAAACCAAACCAAGGCCACGGACAGTGTTCAGATCTAAAAATAATCAAGACACGTGTATCGTATTTAGCTGACACCTGAGGCAGGTATACTCTATTAAAGGAAACCGATGAATAACCACAAACGACAAGATGGCGACAGTGACGGGGAACTAAAATGACGTAGCTTTTGGCCTGATAATGACAGCATTCTTTTTTTTTACCATAGCAGCCCTATCACAGCAGTCACATGTACAGGAAACTCTTATAATTCAGCAATATCGGATTCCAATTTGGAATCGGTCTTTGATTGGAAAAAACGAGTCCGTTTTTTGGATCACCAGAGCCTTTCTCCGAGGGAGATTTCACGTTTAGCCCGCGTCCCGTGTGTCACGGTAGCTGCTACTTTTCATTAGACTACAAGCAATAGCTTTTAAACCGTTTAGTGTGCTATGGTCATATTAGTTACATTACTATGCGATGGTCAGCAACAGGAAACTGGATTGGAAGCTGCCCTAGAACACTAACTGGCTCGAGTTGTTCTTGTGTACTCGTTGTCATTCTTGTAGTCATTATTGTCCGGCGCTACTACCTATATGGAGATTTCCCAATGAATTTTTCCTCCGTTTTCAATCGTGTCCGACCGACCCATATTTCGCCGTTTTCAAAAAAAAGAGGAAGGAAATAGATCGATCTTACGTGAACATGATATTTAATGAAATAAAATAAACTGCGACCGACCGACCCAAACTCAGCCTAAAAGGGTAATGGCAGTGGTGAAAGGAAAAAAAAGAGAAGATGGACTAGATACATTGATTTTTTTTTTCTCTTTATAATTTAGTTACGTTGGCAAGAAGGTTGATTCTTGGAATAAATCTGTCAAGCGCAAAACATTAGTTCATCAGATCAGTTTTTTTTATATATTCAGCAGTCTCGAGTCCAGGCCGACACTACTCCAGACCTTTTCACGGTGTTTTCAACTTTTTTTTACATATGGACCAGAGAGTTCGGGAAAATCCGTCAACACCACTGAAACGAGAGCCTTAAAATTTACAGCAAAGTTGCCAAGTTTGAAAGTAATACGTCTTTAGCGAGCGAAGATACAGCGCAGCAATTAAAGTTGCGAAAATTTACAGACGTTTGTATGGTGGGGTGGGGTAAACGTTTGTACCCCCTGCAACCATACAATCGTCTGTAAAGGAGCTGTATCTTCACATTAGTTTTCAACAAATCACTTTCAAACTCGGCAATTTTACTAATTCTAGGCGCTCTTTTCAATGATGTCGACGGATTTTCCCGAACTTGTCCATGTCAAAAGTTGAAAAAAACCCGTCGAAAGGTCTATTCAGCTACGAATTCCCGCCTGAAATAAAATTTGACATGAATTTGTTATTTATCGGTATAAAGGTGAACATTTCAAATATTCACTTTTATTGAAATAGCTATCTAATTGCTCGAATAGAATCCGATTTCAGGGGTGGTTTTCTCGGTTAAAAGTTTTGATAATCTTATATCTATAAACCTCATTTCATAATCTATCGTCTTAAAAAGCAGAACTTTCTCTGAGACAAAAATATCCCAGTAAAATACAGTCACAAACCAAACGTCAATTGAGAAATCGACAGACACATTGGGTTGCATTTAGAAATCAAAAAGTTATTTGAGAATTTTTGAAAGACCAGTTAAGACACTTGAAAAATCCAAACGTCATCTGAGAAAATAATAGAAGAGGTATTAAAAATTCAAACCTTTCACCAGACCTCTGGCCTGCCCCGTGTGATCACTTACCTTCTTTGCTAGATCGGATTTCTACAGCATCAAATTTGAGAAGTGAAACAGGATTGAGAAGTTGACTGGCTGTTTTGAATTGTGATACTAAGGACTGTGCCTGCAGCAGGGAATATAATATGAATCATTGCACACCATAATTCATCAATCTAAACTATTTCTCAATAAATATTTTGTAACACCTTGTTTTCAAAAACACTTAACGGTTGGCTTTGTCAAAACAATCTTATGGTAACTCTAAAGCGGCCCCATGTTGATGTATCTGACTTGCTTGAAAGATACATGTATAAGAAACTCAGGGAGGGAAAGATTAAAAAATTTCATTTTTGATACTAAAAGGCTTAAGTACTTTTCACGATGACCATACATGACAATGATAGCTTCTATGATAGCTACAAAATAAGACAAAGACATGAATAAAAACTTATATAGTTACCCTTTTTTCTTTAGGCAGTGTCTCCTTGAGGTAAAAATACACAAACACAATATCTGCTACTGTCAAAGTTATGGCAAACAAAGCTGGTAGTAGATAGGGATTTCCACTATTAAGTGTTGATCTCCTTGCAAACACAGCACCAATCACAGGTCCAATGATAAAACCAAATGAGAATGCTATGCCAACAAGGGCCTATTGGAAAAGACATTGGAACAACAGTGATCACCTGCAGATAACTAACTCGTGAAAATTACAATATTACTTGTATGATGGAGGCCTCTGATTCTCACTTTGTGTATTATTCTTAAACTAAAGTATTTATCTTAGCAACTTAAGTATCATAGACTACTAGTAGTCCCTATTTTCCGCAAGGATAGTAGAGTGAGAGAAACACAAGGGCGAGTGAAAATCAACCGACACGAGAAAGGTGAGACGCGGCGGTGTCTCATTTTTCTCTCTGAGTGCCACGTCTCTCACTTCTCGTGTGGGTTGATTTTCAGACTCGCGAGCGTGTCGCTTGCTGCCTACTATCCCTGAGGAAAAATGGGGACTACTCATAGTCTACTAGTATCTCTGTATGCAAGCATGGTTGAGTTTCCATATTAAAAGTACGTTCCTAATTTTAGCACCTATCTACCTGAAAAAAGAACCTACATAATTATTTAGGACAACCTACGTGCAGGTACATTTCTGATCCCACCTTTTCCACCATTTCCCAACAATGACCATAATAATTATGATAAATTATAATTAGAATAAAATAAATTAAAATAGCAATATCATTATTATAGTTCCAAGGCCATACCATTCCTTTTCCTCGGTTCTTCACGGACGTGGCATCTGTAACAATGGCTGTTGAGATGGTAACATTACCTTTGCACAAACCACCAATGATTCTAGCAATGACAAAGATGGTGAAGTTCCAGGAACATGCCCATACAATATAAGAAACCAGAACTCCTGACTAAACAGATGCAATGCAAATTATTAGCATATAAACATCTGTTAAAGTGGGATCTAGCAGGGACATTCTTAAAATCTCTCACAATTAATGCCAGTAAAAAAAATAGGTAAAATGAATCAATCTGTTGGTGAAAATACTATTTCACTTTATTTAATTACTTAAAATGATCATCTAATTCCTTGATCTAATTCATAACTTAGCCATTTGGTATTTGTTGGTATATTATTATTAGTCTCGCTTGCGTAAGCAGCGAGACTCATAAACTGCAATGCGTTTTTCACCCCAGGGGGGTAGTCCCTTATAAACGCTATATAGGTATGTGCCGTGCCAAAGGGTATGTTTTTTTTAGCCGTTTTGGTCTGAAATAGGATATCAATTTCGATCATTTTGGTCTGAAATACGGTATAGTTTGTACACTCTAGTCTTAAATTGGGTATGTTTTTTAGAGGAATTAGCTACTTCTTCATCATTTGGCGATAAGACCATTTCCCTTTTTTATGTTTATGTAAACTACCGTGTACGTGCCATAACAGCTTGTCACGTGCTCCAGTCACATGCCAGGCTCCAGGAAAAAGGGTATCAAAGTTTTGATCAGGTCTGAAATAGTGGGTAGGGAAAATTACAGATTTTGGTCTGAAATAGGGTAAGGGTTTCAGGAAGCATGCCGCGCACCCCTCCCAATTTTTCTGGAGGTAACCACCCCAGAATTTTTAGTCGTATTTTAGGACACAAAAGGCAGGTCATTGTGCCAGGTGTTCCTTGCAGAGACAGTGGAAACTGGGACTAAGAATCGTTGTGTGATCGAAGCCGGGCATGTTTTGCGAAGAAAGCTTAGGAAAGATTAAATTTAGAGCTTTTCCGAAACGTGTCGGCCCATGAATTCTATCGCTTGAAAGCGTTGATTACTTTGGAGCAAGTGAACACTACTGAGTGGTTGAAAAAAATAAGAATCTTAATTAGCAAAATTGTGGTGGTCAGGTGTTGTAAATTCTCACTGCATGCAAATGAGTCTTGTGATAAGCATGCGATTCATTTTCGGCAATGATTGAAATGACTTGTCATGTAAATCACTTTTTCGATATCTGGCAATGATGTAATTTCTCTGGAATTGTCAGGCCCTTGAATTTTCGTGTATTTATACATGCGTATAGCCTGCTACTGCAGAGGTATTTTTGGTCGTCGCTAGCACGCGTACTAAATCAATTCAGAAACAAATACGAAGTATCGACATCGATAAAGTAGGAAGTAAAAAACCTTTAGCGAGGAAATCATCATTGTTTCTTGTAGAATTAATCGCCTCCTCTTTTCTCAATCTAATCTCCACGCAGGCGAGACGTGAATGCCGCTGTAAGCGTGTTCTTCTTATTATCATTTTTGTTCCCAAGCTTTTATATTTCAAATGAGGATTGTTAATGGCAGAGGATCATAATTAACATATATACATTATTTTGTATTTCATGCAAGGACAACCCAATGTTTTGAGCATGGCCATTTGCGATCGACATACAAATGTAACAGAACTGATGAACAGTGCTGGTGGTCTGGGAGCTAGCAGACAATAAGACTGGATGAAAAATCATCCTGGTGTTTCTCAACTCATGACTGGGGGCAAACTGGAACACCCTGAGTGTTTCCAATAAATTCCTCAATGTTGGGGACCTTCAAATGATTTCAATATATTTAGTTTCATTTAGCACTTTAATACATTGAAGGCCTTACCATGCAAAATATCATTGGTAATCTTCTTCCATATACATCAGACACAGCACCAAATAAAGGACAACACAAAAACTGGAGAAGAGAGAACAAGGACCCTAGAAACCCTGCAAAATGTCATAAAAGAAGTTCATGGATGTAGTAAGAATATAATTCATCCACTGGATACTGGGGGGGAGGGGGAGGTGTGAAATGGTTGGAAACACACAGAACTAATGGTCAATCTCTAAAAGAATATGAATATTAACACTGATTTTGGACAACATATATTTGATATTGAAACAATAATTATAAAGCATACAAAATTAAATAATTTTAAAATTTTTATATCTTCTTTAAACGTTTTAGTCTCACATACTGAAAGCATTCACTCAGGAACCAGACCATGAATCCAGTTTGTGATCTGTTTGGTATGGCTTTTTTTGATGGCTCAGTTAACACATTCAGAACCAGGAATAATAATAAATATAATGTAGTTATAGTTTTCACAAGAATCATTGTGTAGGAAATGCCAAGATGTCCAAAGAACTCCAATACCTGGTATGGCACCAGCTATTCCACATGTTTTCTACATACAATTTAAAAATTATCATAATTACCTCCAAACAGAACAGTATTGAAGCGACCATTATCAGGCATTCCCAGAAAATCCCTGAAGGTGTTCACTTGATGAATAATTGAATTATATAGTGAATCCTACAGAAAATAATTTTTGTAATGTTAGCTGGGTATGTTTGATGTGTAGCCTCTGAATCAGTCCGGGAACTACGTTTCCATTATATTTTTCAACACTATTAATTTCTTTGTCTTTGTCTTTCAAGGAGAAAAAGACAAAGAAAACTGAGAATCAACCTAGTTAAAAACTTGCAACTTGACTTTAATTTTGACTTGTTAACATGAGAGATGTATATATCCTAAATATATTAAGTCCAAGGCTGATTTTGCTTTTATAATTAGCACACAATTATTATTGTTACAAGTTACTGTTATTATATATTTTTAATTTGGTTAAAAAACTGCAGAAAACTAGATACAGAATAATAAAAATCATTTAATAAAAATCATTTAAAGAGAAACACTTGGAAGTGTAGATGGAAAAATGTAGCATATTTTTTTTAATGAGGAAAAACCTGTCATAACTTTCCATTCTTGAACACTATCAGCTTAAACTTACTTGCATTTAATGCATTTACTTTTTAAAGCTGCAGGGGCCAAACAGTGTTTATAGTTCATGGTAGTTCAGGTGATAGTTTCAACCATCATCCACTATACCATCATGGCCTGCGGCCAAACGGTCATGATAGCACCTGATAGTTCATGGTAGTTGGAACCAGAAATTGTGCATTTGCCCCTGCAAGCTCTACTTTCCAATCTCTGGGCATATGAAAGTGTAAAAAAAATTTGTCAGTAATATTTTAGGGTCACTTCAGTAGTGTGTGGTGTAAACCCTAAGCATTCCTCTTTATTTAAGAGCCATAATTTGTTTAAAGTATAAGGTTAATGTGCTAGAAGAAGATAATGGGACCCTGGTCTTTTTAAAATAATTTGAGATGTCTCATTATACTTGACAATGCTGCTCAATGTCTGTCTGAGCCCATCAAGTCAGTCAAGAAACAGCTGACAGAAAAACTATCATCAACTACATTTAGGGGTACCAAATGGGAAAAACTATCATTGACTATCATAAAAAATTTGAACATGTTCAAAGTATGTGACTGTTGATGACAGTCAGTGATAGTTGATGATAGCTAATAGTGTCAGTGGATCATGATTGCTTAACAAAGTAACATCAACAATCGGTCATCAACTATCATGGAGGTTTGGTGCGGGCTTTAAGTGCCTTTCAAATGCACCAGTACATGTTATACATGTTGATAATTCACTGCCTACAGAATGATTGAAAATTAACGCGATGGGGCATGACATTTCAGCTTCAAACTTGATATTGACTAACGAGCTGTTGCAGCTTACCTCCGTGCTGGCGTAAAACTCCAGTAATGAAGGAAACAGTGGCAAAATTACAGTAAAAGCAAGCAAGTCAACAAGCAGTGAAAAGAAAACTATCCACACAGTCCGATCAGATGGGAAGCCTCTGGAATTCAATGTATCCTTAGAAGGTTCATCTTCTTTCGGATGGGCTTGAAAGTCTTTATTAGTTGTTTTTGAACCTCTTTTGGTGACCTCCAAGTCAGCCATAGTGTCGTGTTCGTGTCCAACAAGCTCCTTGACTTGCTGTTCTATAAGCCGCGAGTTAGCATTACAAAGCACTTGGTTGTCTGCCTCCAGCAAACTAATTTATGATATTGTCCTTCAAGCATAAAATTCTATTTAGAGAAGTACGTGAGTTTGACGTCAAGAATAATAAACTTACAATATCAGCTGCTTTTGGTTAGTCGATAAAAATATGATGAATTCGCCAATATTGTATCTTTTACAGCTTGTTGGGGAACGACGTGGCAACATGTAAACTCATCCTTCAAGTTTTAATTTCCTGCATTTTAAAAGTCCAAAATCCGTCAGGCGTCGCTCCAATCCATGTAAATTTCCGAAATATTCCGATCAGATTCCGAAATAAATCCACCGCGCAGTGAAACTACAACTTCCTGCTCTCTTTGCCCCTTTCATCTATCGTATACACAACCACTAATAATTTCTACCCCAAAACAAATACTTGGACGCAGAAACGATAATTTTAATTCGTGTTTTGTGAGATAAGTTTCTTTTACTGTGGTCGGAAAACCTTCGGAAACACGATGAACACGGTCGTACCGGCAATGAAAAGTATCCCAGAAGCCCTAAGTGGCGCGAAAAGGAAACGGAAAGGCGCTAGTAAAAACTTATTGCGAAACGACAGCGGAGCGTAAATATGCGGAGGATTGCTGAATTCGCCTCAATGGACAGGTGAAAATGGGAGAGCACTTAGTTCCAGTGCTACTAATAACAGCGAACGTCGGTTCAGTTTTTGAAAATGTGAGTAACCTAAATAACTCTTATGTTTTTTTCTCCAAAGTTACGCAAAATACGACACCGCGATGTTGTTACGGGGATTGAATACGTACGTATCTTGTTTAAAATTTTACCGGTTTCAAGCAAGTGTAATCTATCGTTAATAGATCTCATTGCACAAGTTGATATGTTGTCATTTTCCTTCAATCAAATTGTTTTATAGTAATAATATATAAACATTAAAGCTAAAGGCTCAACTCTACGAAAGTCAAAAACGAGCGACGTGAGCTCGATTGTTTTGCTTTTGCGTGTTGTTTACAAAAGGAGGCTACTTTTATTTATTCCCATGTCGGCAATTATACTTTTTTATACCTTGTAATTTTCCATTTTGTTACAGCGTGGTGGTTTGGAGGAGCGCTGGATTCGCGAAACCTTGTCGGTAAGTTACGTTTTGTTCTGTGAGGTTACACGGCCCTGGCTTTTGAGTTCATCTTTAGCCAATTTTAAACTTTCTTCATTGTATGTGGGGTTTTGGTTATCAGACAATAACAAGATTGAAGCCTAAGTTCGTGGCTTTGCACTTTCAAGAAAGTGGAGGTAAAGAATCTGGCGAAGAATCATTGCAAAACGTGAAGGAGTTCGTGAGGTACAAGTCAATTTTTTAAGGTTATATTTTTCGATTAATTTAAGTCATTATTGAACTCAAATTTTCCAGGTCTGCTGTTAGAAAATTTTCATGTCTTTGTTTAGAATTCGTTCGATCGAACTCTGAATCCAAATGTTTTGCCTCATTTTAAGAATCTTCCTTGGTCAGTCTCAAGTGAAGGAGAAATTTGACAGAGCTCGTGCGTGGTTTGATCAAGATTATCACGTACAAGAACGTTACACGGTGTGTAGGTTATATTTAATTAAAAGTCAAATTGCTTTCCTTTGTTTCTCCTGCTCCCTGCATAGTTTAATCCCTTATTATTGTTAAATATCCATTATGGAAACTTTCTTAACATATTAAAGTTTGTATCCCCTCCAAAGAAAATGGAAATGCTACCGCTGTCAGTGGATTGAAAATATTGTGGCGAATTTAAGCTTATACATGTATATTTATTACAAAGTTGTATTTTTGGGCTACATTCTTAGCAATAAGTTTTATTATTATTATTGTTCATGATTATTTAGCGTCATAAATGTTGTTTAGTTGTTAAAAATACTTCAAAAAACCAGTATGCTGGTTTGTAAATAGTCAAATAGATTATTTCTTTAAGTTATTCAAGAGTTTTATGATGTAAACGTATTTACATTGTCTGAATTTATTTTAACAACAAATTAGTTCCTGTGTAAAAAGAAACCCTTAATCCATAGCAACCAATGTTCTGCACGTTATTTTCAACAGTCCCACAAAATGTAACATGCTCAAAATATTTATTGTTAATTCATGCTTTTATTACTGTTCACACATTGTTGTAATTTTTAGTCTGGATGCATTTTTCTTAAAAAAGCCTTTAAGTCCTATATTTTTAAGAAACAGTCTGTCACACAGGAATTCATGATAGCGCAAAATTTTTCTCGGCAACGTGGGCGAAAGGGATTTAGTCTTTTACCATTGATCTGTGTAACTGTTGATTCTAAAACTGAGATTCCTGACCAGTGACTGCTTTATACGTATGCCTTCTTTAAGAGAAGTCAGAGACAGAGATATGTTGCTTTTTGCGCACAGTGAAAATTTGATCAATGATGAAGAATTGTAGCTGTTGCATGTATTATTCAAACAAGTCAAGCAACCTTGACCTTCTCTATATGGCGCTGTGATCAATTTGATCTTGATCTTTTAACTGCCGATGAATGCAAGTCAGAGTTTAGATTCTACAAGAAAGATGTTTACCTTCTTACTGAAGTGTTGCAGGTGCCGGATCAAATTAGATGCTATAACCGTGTTGTAGTTGATGGAATTGAAGCTCTCTGCATTTTTCTCAAGGGATTTACATATCCTTGTGGATATTTTGATATGCTGTCTAGATTTGCAAGACCAGTTCTGCAACTTTGTATGAAATCCAAGCAAGTGATGGATTTTATTTATCAAACTCACCACCACCATTTAAAGAATTTTAACCGACCATGTCTCTCTCAAGCCAGTCTTCAGAACTCTACAGAAGTAATTCATGTGACGGGAGCTCCACTTCGAATCTGCTGAGGATTTTTTGATGGTACAATAATACAACGGGTTTTGTATAACGGGCACAAAAGGGTCCACACAATAAAATTTCAGTCAATTGCTGCTCCAAATGGTTTGATAGCTAACCTATTTGGCCCAGTTGAAGGGACGGAAGTAGCATGCTAGCAAAATCGGGATTACTTGCACATTTGCAACGTCGCTCGTTTTCTTCTTACCCCTTTAATCTACACCTTCAAGGACCATCAAGGCTGTGCTCTAAGGAAAATTGAAGGGTGCCCAGTGCTCTGAACCTGTACAATCTAGGGTGCCCAGCATATGATTTGAATGAAAAATCTGAGATGTTCTAGTCACCCAGGAGCAATAGTTGGGTACAAGGGGCCACTGGGATTTGCTAGAGCACAGCCTTGACCATTCAAAGGAGCAAGGATCACCCCTTTACAGAATGAATATAACACTGCAATGAGTCATGTTAGAAGCTCAGTGGAGTGGGTTTTGGGGGATATTGTAAACTACTCTGCCTTTATGGATTTCAAGAAGATCTTAAAAATTCACTTAAGTGCAGTGGGAAAAATGTACCTGGTGTGTGCCTTACTGACCAATGCACCCACATGTCTTTATTGGTCCGTAACATCGTTGTATTTTGGCTAGGACTGGCCACCACCATTAGAAGTGTATTATTTTTCAGTGACATGGAATATGTACTGGACCCTCCGTAACATCATCGTATTTTGGCTACGACCGGTCACCACCGTAAGCAGTGTATTATTTTTCAGTGACATAGAATATGTAAGTACTGAAAGCTTGAAGACCCTGATCTGTTCAGGGATTTGGATTTTAGGGTTACCGGTTGTTTAAATCCCCTCCATCAGTAATTTATGCCAAGAATTGCTGCTTCAATGATTCTTGCGCTACACAATTCTAATAGCGCACAACACAATTCCCATCGTGCTCACTCTTGAAATACTTTTTCAACAGTGGAAGAGAAGTTTCGTATCTCCACGTGGCCATTCAATAGATATGTAGATTGTCAGCAAGACAGAAAAGTGAAGTCGTGAACAAAATACACATGCGAATTAATGATAAATATTTCAGGTATATGTTTATATACTCAGGGATCCATATTCCCAGTACATTTTCCCTGTGTTCTGATTACTTCTCATCATCTTAAAACTTTTAGAATAATGGAGAATAACAAGCAGCTTTTGTCTGCTAAGAAATCATAAGTTTGGGCGTCATCTGACATGGTGCAGTATTTTCTACGAAACGATCACAGGCTCAGTTTTTTTTGTGAATTACTCCATTCAGGGGCCATTCATCAAAAACAAGACAGCATTTATTAAGATGCAGCATTTTTCAAAAAGGCGTTTCGTTGCCTTCGGCTAAAATAAAGGTGAAGCAGAAGCTGGTGCCTGATACGCATTAAGATGTGACGTTTTTTATGAGACGTTTCACTGCCTTCAACGGAAAAAAGGTGATGCAGGAGCCGCTGCCTTTTATGCGGTAAAACATAAGTGCACCATCTTGACTTCACGTTCATGGCAAATGGACTGACCGTGGCAAACCTTAAAACGTAAATAAACTGTGTTTAGCCTGTTGTACATAAGAGTATAGTTAAAACCCTTTCTTAGTTATTATAACGGAAATAACATGCTAATCAGAACTGTTCAAGTTGCACACAATTTCTTCAATTTTTTCACAATTCTGCACTTTTGTCCGGGCAACCCAAATTGTAATCAGGCAAGTATGCCATCAGGCTTACTTGCCCGGCTGATGACTGTGAGAAAAAATGAAATCCCTGTATACTGAAATAAGTTTGCTCGGTTGTAAAACAGAATATTTAGTTACATTTGCTGTGAAATTATGAGCTTTTATAGATGCATCTGAGAGTTATGACAAGATGTAATGACATTAATTTTAGGTTCACCTTTTCTTTTGTGTTGGCCCTTGTTCTGCTGTAACTTCTGCTGCTCCTGCACCATTCATCTATGGATTTATTTCATACACACATTATTATAAGATGTACAAAATTGATAAGGTTTATTTTCAATAAAATGTATAGCTTATGATCTTTGAACAGCCAGAATTCATGTCCGTGTAGCCTCATATTAAAGAACCACCTGCTGACAGCTCACAGATATTTGTTAACTCTTTCAAAAGTTTCATTCTTAAATCAATGGAAACTAGTGGAAACAAAACCACGTCTGTTTTCTGGGTGTAAAATAAATTAACTTACGTTGATCACCTCGTGTTCATTTCAAAATGCACATTTCCATTTGTCAAGCAAAAATCGGTCAACTTGAAGTTGAAAGTCCGCGTTTAACACATCAGGTTGGAAACTATGATGAACAACCTGAAATTTAGTGTCCACGGAGCAGTAAATGTAGCGAAGAAAAATATTTTCTAAGCAATAAACTTACCTTTCACAACTCACTTTGACAAGTCAACTTCAAAACAGGCGGAAAAACGCTTAACTGAAGTCGTGGACTGGAGCACGACGGCTTCTACACATGAATACCTTCATGATTGTTCATGCTGGTGATGTAATTTCAAAGCAAATATGCCGTCATCTTTGAAGCTTCCCTTTGTCACTGCTTAAAGTCCCTATTGTTTCTCCAGCCAGGTTCAGGTTACTGTTCAGCATCTTGTGCCTATTCAGCATCTTTAGGTTATTCCTGGCCTCCAATTTTAAAACACACATTTTCTTAACTTTTTAACAGCCATAAAATACATCTGTTAGCCCTTTTTCTCCTTTTTACAGACCAACAAGGCTGTGCTCTAATGAAAATTGAAGGGAGCCCAGTGCTCTGAAACTGTAAAATCCAGGGTGCCCAGCATATGATTTGTATGAAAAATCTGAGATTTCCTAGTCGCCCGAGGGCAAAAGTTAGGCGCCAGGGGCCACCGGGCTCTGCTAGAGCACAGCCCTGGACCAAAATGACAGATTTCCCTGAACTACCCTTTCTTATACTTCAGCTGGTGAACTCCCTACCCTTTCATATACCTGAAGCCTGAAAACTTACCCCTTTTGGGTGATGACTCTACGTATAGGTCATTGTAGGGGGGACGCCCATGGGCTCACCCACTCATTAATGCAAGTGTGAAAACCTGTTGGGTGAGTGGAATATTTAGATT